GCCCTGATCCTTGTTCGATTCAGGTGCAAGAAAATCTGAAATTATTATTAAAAGTTGAGGTAGAATAATCTTTATCGTTGCTCGCCAAAGTACGAAACTCGCTCTGAAGGCCTGAATTAGGCTGTAAGGAGCGTCTGGTCAGCTCGTTTGTACCCGACTTTTAAAGTGGCCAACATTGCAAAGACTAGAAACGGAGGAGAGTCGCCTGCACCCCTTCTGTTTTTTTTTTAATTATGTAAAGCACTTTGAAATGCCTTGCTGCTGAAATGTGCTATACAAATAAAATTTGATTGATTGATTGATTGATTGATTGATTGATTGATTGATTGATTGATTATTGTGCCGTTTTCTAGCTTCAAAGAAATTAAATCGAGCGGAATGTTTTATTTTATTTTCTTTCATTTATTAAATCAGGTAAAAACCCCATTGACATCCAGATCTCATTTGCAAGAGGGACCCGGGCCGAAATCTGCTATTTATTTGTTGCATTACTTTTATGCGCATATAAACAATTTACGCGAACCAAACTTGAACGTCAGCGGTTTGTTTTTGTTGTTGTTGTTGTTGTTGTTTGTTTGTTTGTTTTGCTTTTTTTTTCCTTAATGGAAACTTGGGAGATGATATAATTATCTTAATTCTGGAAGATAAGATTATGTATTTTTTTAGGCTGTGATTATCAACACACCTCCGTAAATGGCCGCAATTTACTGGTGAGCTATTCTAAAAGCCCCATCTGCAGATTGTGACCAGCTAACAGATTCAGATATAGTCTAAATCTAAATGCATAATGTGATTCCATATTAAATGTCGCGATAAAACATACTTTTAAAATCTTTGAAAGAAAACTTTAAGTTGGAGGCCAACCGCTCTGCAGGAGCGGCTTCCCGCATCTCTTCGTTCCGTCTGATAATTTCACTTTTTTTTTAATAAACTAATCTCCGTAGTGCGCTGTCTCTCAAAAGCCCAAACAGTGCACGACGTTGCAATCCAGGGAATAAATATAATAAACACTTAAGTCAGATCTAGAACTCAATGTCATTTCCATTAAACAGCGCTAGGGTCCTATTTTCCTGAGGGATCAATAAGCAACAAAAAGGCAAAACACTTTTCTTTGTTCATGATATGAATGACGCATGTTTCCCATGTATTTCTCACTGCATTACAATACAGTTTGTAAACGTAAACGTTTGATTTATAATCTAATTCAGTTTTTCTCTCTCTCTCTCTTTCCCTCTATTACAGACTTAAGAAAAGGTCAGTGAAGATCAGGACTTGGAGTTTGTTGTCAGAAACATTCTGACATTTACACATGGATTCATTTATAAGTACAACTGTAAATGTGTGTTTTCCAAATTAAAGCAAACAAATCCTGCTGTGAATATACACAGCACCACAAATTCCTTATAACTACATCTTCTCTGACAACCTCTGAAATCTTTCGTTCATTTGCTCTGGGACCAGTAAGGCGAAGCCAAAGACTGGAAGTGAACCAATGACAGCCCAAGACCGTGTTCATAATTTTCTGCTGTCTCCACAGATTGTGGCTTTCAGTATGCGTCTATTGCTATTGCAACAACGCCATAAACAAATGAGAAAAGAATCATCATCAGGTACGATTGTCACTTGATGGGTCCAAATATCACTGACAATATTTCATGTTTTCCATTAATAAAAATATATTGTGCAACATATTCCGTTAGGAAAGAATTAGGTTCACTGACAAGTGCCTTTTAGCTTTTAGTAGAGAGGCTTTACTTCTTGTGAATCTAACAGGAAAGATGAATTGTGAAAGTGACTTCCTCTGCTGAGATTATAAGACATGTCAGAGCCGTGTGTGCGTACATGTGGTTATTTCACCAAAGTTATGCAGTCGAACTGACCCCCTATCTTTAGCCTGAACAGAAACACATGCAGGGGGTTACAACATTCCTGTTTGCTAATATTTAATCTTGGGTTGCTTGTTGGAACAGCATCTCTTTGGGTTTTTTTTATATATAATAATCACTATCACCACTATTATGCAGTCTGGATTTATATTAAGTTACTTCCCAGATTAGTTTGTTGAAGGATATATCTCTAAATATAAAACTCTTGGCGAGGTAAGGAACCCTCTAAGACACTAATATGCAGACTGAAATGTCAGTGTACACGATCATTTGCCACTGAAAATAAGTATTTTTATAGTTTATTAAATGCATACAGCTTACCCTTTAGATGAAGATCATTATGTCCATTAGAAGTCCACTTCATTTTAAGCTGTTAGATGTCAACATCCACAAAACGAACTTGAATCTAAATGAGACAAACTGAAGGTCCTTGATTTCGAAACTAAAAATTGGAAGTAATGAGTAACTGCTTCCTTATTTACTCTGCAGAAAGGAAAGAGGTATAATAGCCTTACGTTTTTGTTCAGTTGCATTTTTGTTATGAGCTTCTTGCCTAATTAGTCAGTTAGCACACTATAAAAGCTTTCTCAGTAAACTACTTCGTCTTCATCCCAAGGCCTTATTAAGCCACCCTTCCAGAATCATTTGTTGGTAACAGAGCGTTTTCCAGTTATCTTCTCCTCACACTTACTGGAGGACAATATTTTGAGTAGCAAACAAAGGGGACCCATGATCTGTTCGCACACACACACACACACACACACACACACACACACACAAGAGTATGTTTACAGTCACAATTCCCCATTCATCCATTCATGGTAATTTTGAAGCTAAATTTTACAGCTGTGTTATAAAAAGAGAGAAGTGCCCTTTTGTGTGGACAGACAAGTTTTTTGCAATCATTTCAGGAACTGGTTATATCTTGACCTTCATTGATAAAGTCCCAAAATGACTTAAATTAAGTTTTTTTTTTTTTATGTTGTTGTCACAATTAATGAAAGGAAGCACAGTCCAGTCTGTCGATTTTAATCATGTTTTAAGCAACCTATTCGGAGCCCTGAAGAGCTGAATTGAAAATGGCACAATTAAAAATAAAAAAACAGTGTGCCCTAAAATAATGATACTTTTTTTTTTATCACACTTTGTAAAAAAATGTATATATACATATATATAAAGACAAACGGCAGGAAATAACATAACCCTGGATTGTTAGGGACTTTTTCATTTGAAAAAAAGATGAATGTGCAGAAGAGGGCAGCTTGCTGCAGAAAGCCATTTTGTGGAAAGAGAACGGTATGAAAGAAGAATGTGTGTGTGTATGTGTGTGTGTGGGAGGAGGGGGCGGGGTGGTATTTACTGTTCAGGGCTGTTTTTGCTTTTACTGTCGTTATTATTTCTCTGCAGCACATTTGGGATTTATTAAACGTGCTTTATAATTAAGTAAACTTGAACATTAAAATACAGGTATCGCTTCCTTGCTTTAGGTGCGGAGTGTTAGACTGGCAGAGCCCATTTTGTCAGCATATTCAATCAAGTTTGAATTTGAAATGTGTTCCGGATTTTATTCTTTCATCAAGTTCGTGACCCGCCACGTTTATAGCGGAGATAAAAGGGTGGCACGCCCCTTTACAGTTCGCCGGCGGATGATCTGGTTAGAGGTGACGAGGAAGCGGAGACGGCAGCGCTTTCCTGTAACGTAGAGGACAACGCGCTTGTTGAAGAGATGATGAGGACAGAGAGGACAGAGACAGCACGATCTGTTAGAGTTTTGAGCAAAAATAACTTCTAAACTCCGAGAGGTTCTTTGACAGCTATTATAGCATATTATACATATACCCTGACTTTATTCAGAATCCTCTTCAGGAGCATAGTTAATCGTATCCTGCTGAGGGCACTGCTGTGTTTGGCTGATATAAGTCACATGATTGAAGTGCACCAGGACTGGTGGTCCAGTTTTGAGCCGCCATGGGCCGCAGACCACACCCCCACGGAGCAACAGTCGCTCCTCTAGGTGATAAAATGGTGCGTATCCATTTCTTCTTCTTCTTTTTGTCTTGCAGCTAGGCTTCGCCCAATCAGGCCAACTTCATAGTTTTTAAAACAAAGCGCCTGAACGTTAACTTGCCTTTGAAGTCAAACAAAAAGGAGCACTTTATTCTTCCTCACTTTGAACCTAAAATACACCATTTTCGCATCACAGGGTATTTTTAGAGGGCTATTTCTGTTTCTACCCCGAGTATTAATATTGCAATTATTCGTTCGTGTTGTGGTCCGACAGCGTCATTCGAGCAGTAATCTCTGGAAACGACATGTTTCTCTATGATTCAGCGATATTTGGATCCAACCTGGACTGCTGATCGTGCCTGATGATGCCTGGGTATAACTTTATTGATTTGAGAAATGGGACATCAGCCGTTTGTTAATGACAATATGGTGCAGGATTGCTTTGTCAAGTCAGTTTAATTCAGTTTATTTCCCCCCCCCCCATGTTTGACTGACTAGCTTTCTTACTTGTAAGAAGTCCCTAAAGCTGGTTGCCGAATAAGAGGAAGACATGTGCTGCGATTCAAACCTCATTTCAAGTAAGTTCCACACTTTTTTCGTTGTGTTTGTAGTTTTATTTCTTTTTAAGTCCGTTTTATATTTTTATTTACACTAAAAAAAAAAGAGCATATTTATTGTAGTGTGGTAAACTCATCTGCAACAGGTGTGGCTCCAAAGATAAATGAGCAATGCCTTCAAAATTTGAACATGAATTTATAGTTTAGCAAAACATAGGCTAAAGAAAAAAATATATATTTAAAGCAATAATCTTAGGCATATTTTAGAGACTTTAGCATTTGAGAAAACTACAAATAAAGCACCGTCTGTCTGCATATGCATCCATGTTAGAGGAAGAGTCCATCAACTTTTGGCAGACATTTTAAGACTGCTAAAAGTCTTAAAATGTCTTTTAACACATTCATGTGTTTCTCCCACACATGAATGGGAGAATCAAATTAATATTATACATACATATACAGTCTATGGAAGAAAAAAAACACTTTGAAGGTTGTGGCTCTTTACTTTTTTTTTTTTACATGTATAGATTGTTGAGTGGTGCACTACCAAACATTGTGTTGCCTTACTGCCGTTTATTTTCATGTTAAAAATATTTATGTTTTAAAATACTATAAGTTTCTAGGTATACTGTGAGATTAAGTAAAATGTTAACTACCCTAAATCATAGTTTGTAATTGTATGATGTGTGATGAAGAATGGATGTAGCTTTGGATGCATGAAATTATATATATATATATATATATATATATATATATATATATATATATATATATATATATATATATATATATATATAAGAAATAATAATAACAAAACCCTAAAATTGTTTCAACCTTTAATATGCCAAAATATGCCCCTTTTGAGGGTCATCTGAGCAGCAGGTTTTAGGAAGAGGAGGAGAAGAGCAGGAGGAGGGGCCTCAATGATAGGACCACAAGACAGACACTTTTTCTTTGTTCAACCAGGATGGCGTGTCGAACAGACCTTCTCTGTAATGCCTCAGCATGTGGAAAGCTGGAAGAAGTGTTGAATTTATTGCAAGCTGGAGCTGATGTTAATGGACTGAATGCGTTTCGGAGGACTCCTCTGCAGGTCTGGCTAATACTTCACTTTCTCCTATTTAGTAAAATTGACAGCATTAAATCAACACGGTGCTGAGTATTTAGTTTGTGTAAATATAACTCAGAGTTATTTTAACAAGAGAGGGTAGTTTTAACACTTGAAAGAGTTAAAACTACTCAGTCTCTTGTTTGCTAAAGGCTCCAGTAGCACAGTGTTGATTTAACTGTCATTTCCTGCTTTTTCTCTCTCTATTTTCAAAAGTCAGCTAAGTTTAAATTTTTTAAACTGTGTGCTGGAGTTATATTTATTTCATATCAACTATGTTGCATATTGCAAATTAAAAATGTCTAACCTAAAGTAATTAGCAGTTTTTTTTTCTCAGTCTTGTGAACTCAGTCATAACAAAGAGAGATATAATTATTTTATTATTTATTGCTATTTGTTTGGATAATAACAAATAGCCGATTAAGTCGGCACTAAAACATTTTTGAGATGAAGTGCAAGTCGAGAGAAGGAAGTTGTCAGTGGAAAAATACAGGCCTCATGTTTGAGGTGAAGTCTTGCCATGCTCCAGATTAAATGAGAGCTATTTTCACAGGGAAAATTTGCACTGCCATTAATAACATGTTTAAATCTGTTTTTTTCATGTTCATCAAGTAAATTTTAAACTATTTTCACACACACACACACACACACACACACACACACACACACACACACACAATCTCTTTCTATCTTTACAGGGACTTTGCATTGACTTCCATTCATTTTTCATTTAGGGGTGGAAATTAAAAAAATTCTACCAGCTACTGTGGTAGAGGATGGTAAAACTTCACCTCTAACATGAGACATGTATTTTTCCACTTGTTGAGCCACAGAGGCTGAGGGAATGGGGAGAGAAAGGCATTTCCCAGGAGAATTTCACAATATCACATATGCCAGTTTTTGAATAACTGGCATATTCAAAAACTATAAAAACATTTTTTTTTTAAAATGCTGTCACAACCTCAAGACTGGACATATACACAAGAAGGGACAACTTAAAGATATGCATATGGAGTCCGTATTCTCTCTGAAGTAAGATGGAGCTTTCTGCACAAGGATACTGCTTTCATGCTGTTCGTGAACTGAGAGAGGCTCACGGCAGTACTCTGCTTCCTCACCACAGTTCCTGCAAAACGTTTCACGTTATTGGATAACCAAAGTCTCCAATAACAAGGAAAAAAAACGTCAGGTTTCTGGGTCTGAAAAATTGCCAAGTTGACTATAGTTCTCAGCCTTCATCTGACGATTAAGTTCTGGAATGTCCTTCCTCCAACAAAAGTAGTCCTTTTTCTTTTACTACAAGTATTGTTTTATGTTAATTTCATATGATCCATCTTTGTTATTTAAGTCAGTTGAATCCATATTCAATACTGGCATGCAAATGTTGCAGGAAAAACCTTACATTAGAAATTAAAATTAAAACATAAACTCCCTTCAGTTCTCAGTGTTTGATTTTCATTGTCGTGCCTTGGGTCCAAGAAAGTAACGGAATTCCTATATTGTCCTTTTTATATTATAGTATTGTTAATCAAGCTGACTAACTTTAATTTCGAGTGCACTCCCACTATTTTTGTCTCTGTTCTGTGAAAGTGCAAACTTAAAAGCCGTAATTTATTCAGCTCATGGGCACATGACAAAATTATCAATTAACATAACTTACAATCAACTTATAAAGTTGTTTGACAAAATAGTTGTCAAACATCCGACCAGTTCACTCGTCTCTTTTATTTTCCTCATGTTTCCAGGTGGCGATGCTCGGAAATGCCAACCTCGTCGAGCTTCTGCTCGAGGCAGGAGCTGATCCCAACGCGCGAGACCCGACGCTAAACCTGACCGTGACTCACGACGCCGCACGCGAGGGTTTTGTGGAGACTGTGCGTGTTCTGATAAATCACGGAGCGGAAGTGAATCTCGCGGACGAAACCGGTAACCTGCCGCTGCATCTGGCCGCAAAGGGGGGACATCTGGAGATGGTCAGGATGCTCCTGGACCTCACCGAGGACCCCCGGAGGACCAACGACCTGGGACACACCGCGCTGAGCCTGGCGCGAGACTTCAAGCACGAGGAGACGGCTGATTTCATTGAACAATATCTGGGGCCCTGAGTGACGTGAGGGAAGGTCTTGTTGCTAATTTGTGTTTATTATAATGGGCCCTCAGAGGAAGATTAGCTCTTGTAGTAGTGGCATAACAGTCTAATTGTCAGAAGGCAAATGAAAATGTTATTTTTATCAGAGTCACCTCTTGTGACCAGACTCTACTCACCAAAGGTGAGTAAATGAAAAAAGTCTTCAGTGTCGCACTCTATTATCTTTAATAAAAGGGCTTTTGCGACAAGAGGTCACTTCCTCACGCACGTGATTCCAGCAGAACCGCGGCATTGTTTTCGATTGTTCAATAAGTTTGTAGCTTCTACTGTTGCGTCTTCTTTGTGCTGAAGTGCTTTATAAATAAAACGGAAATGCGTCTTTATCATGTGACATCAGAAGCCATACTGATTGTAAAAATATATAAAGAAATACCCATCAACAGACACGCCTGTGTCATTTCTGCTCAGTTTTCCCAAATAAAGTCTGCTATTGTGAAAGATGGGGCTACGGTTAAATGACGGTCAGTTTCAAATCACTTTATTTCCAGAATTTTAAAAACGACAATAAAAAGTGACGCATGTTGCAATAAGTAGATGTCGTCTTCGAGTCTACGCCACAAACAAAGAAGACAAAAGCAATTTTCTGAAGCCGATTAAGTCTGACCAGGTAATGCGGTAGATCCACAGCGCTGTTCATATTTTTTGTACACGGTAAAGATGTGTAAAATGCCTTAAAATACATTCGTTTTATTGCAGGAGCGTAATCTCACGCTGAAAATTGTACAAAACGTCCAATACATTTATTTACTTGCGTAGAAAACAATTATTGACCAATTATTGGCACCCCTGCACTTTTCAATTCAATTCAGTTTAAAAAATTCTTAATTTATCCGAAATGGAAATTAAATAACCAAATGCACCATCTTTTGTCAATAGAACGCATCACAAGAAGAGGGATATTATTCCACTTTGCATAATTGGAATAATACTTTGCGGAATTATTGCTGAGGAGTCTACGTGCGTAGACTCTTTTGGGGGGTGGGGGGGACCAGCAACATTTTAGGGTATATTTTGAGTAATATATGCCCAAATATTTCCGTTTGATGCCACATGTATTTTACCAGATAATCACAAACTACTTCTTGTTGCATTAAGTCTATTTGTTTTTGCGGCCTCCTATTCTCTCCACCAGTTATTTAATAGCTACACTATTTAATGAATTTTCTGAAAACGGAGCACTGCAGAACTGGATCCACTATATTATAATGCGCGCAAGGTGAAAAGTAGCAATTAGACCTGGAATGGTTAGTAAAAACATGTAGGCCCGTTTCATTTCGAGTAAAACTTCGGCTGCATTCACTTAACATTTGTTTATTTCTGGTAAAGAAAAAATAACTAATAAACGCAAATTAGAGAGCCGATTCTAGTAATAAGCGGTTTGGGGGTGATTACTATATTCTGACGTGCGTAGACTCCTCTGTTCTGTGGAGGAATCTTTTTCTCATTTGAAAAAGAGGGGGCGGAGTTCAGCCATATATGGACCTTTATGACGGTAGTCCCTCTCACGTTCAGGGTTTTAATTGGCTGGAGGGTGTTTACAGACTGACCTATCAGTGGTCTGTTCTGCGTCTGAAACGGCTTTTAAAGCAGACAAATACGTTTTCTGTTATGCATATTTCAGGACTGCTTGTAACTGTAGTAATTTGAAGTTTGTAAACTGAGACATCTAAAATAAATCATTGTCTCTTTCTCTCTTACAGATTTGAAACGTGAAGACCAGGACCTGGCGTTTATAACCAAATAAAACAAAATTATCGCAGAGCATCTGTCTTCATTACATGAACAAGTTAGAGCAAATAACATTTACCATGTTTTCATTTTGCCCTCTGTTGCGTGCTTACCTTTTTGTGTTCAAATTGCCTGACAATCACGCAATCTCCACTGCAGAGGAAATTATCGTTTTAATATGATGTAAAGGACTTTTCTGAAATAAGAAGTGTTTTCAATCAAGCAATCACGTTTTAAGCAAACTTGATTGATTCGTTTAAGACAGAGCAGGCAAAAATAAGCATTTAACAATGCAATGTTTGCTAAGTAAGCACATTCAAGAGATTGAATGCGTTTACTTGACTTGCAACTATGCCAATAGCACCCAGGTGGTCTGCATCTACAAAGAAATTTATCCATAAATTATGATAAATCAGGATCACTAACATTACAAGATGATAACTCAATTGATTGCCTATAAAAACCTATCAGTTTCTGGAGGTTTCTGTGAGAACAGCAAGGACCCATCCATAATTTGATAGGAACATTTTTCCCCATTAACCAACCAGCAGAGTCAGAGCAATGATGACGATGATGATAATAATAATCATAATAAATAAAAGGATTAATGTCCATTTGCTAACAACTTTAGAAAGACCCAGAACTAGCAGGTACACTTGTTTGAACACAACAATATACTAAACTGCAATGGCATCAGTGTAAGCTTATTGTACCAACCTCCACTGCAGAGGGAAAAAAACACTTAGTTTGCAGCAGAACATTTAGAGAAGTCAGTAAAGTACTGTGAGAATACAAAATAAACTCCTTGTATACGATTACCATCTTGCTTGGGGAACAAAAAAAAAACAAACAAAAAAATCACTATTCACTATTCCTGCAGTGATGTTTGAAGGTGGAAACATGATGCGAGGCTGTCTTAACAAATGGCACATATGGTATATTCACATAACTGAATAAGTGAATCAACAAATGTACTAAAAAGGTCAAATATCAACAATAAAGGAGAGATGACTTTCTCAGCAATGCAATTATCCTAAATACACAATGAAACTCTCACATAGTTTCAGTTAAAAAAAAACAACTAAATAGCTAACTTTAATTCAACAGAAAATCTGTAGAAAGAACTGAAGATTAGTACAAAGACGAGGCCCAGAAAACTTTCAAAAATGTATATGGGTCAATAATCATTCCTGGACAATGCAACCTGTTTCTCCATAGAAGATAAATCTTGCAATAACAAATTTTTTTAAAATTAATATTTCTTCTCAGTGCAAGTCCACAAGACTTCACAAATTAAACAGATTTATTTGAATTTGAATTGTTTGGGACATTTCATATGGGCTATAGGCCAATAGCCCATAGGCTTAATTCATATTAGCCTATTTTGAAACAAATTTATTAATATGCTGACATACAATACTTTATTTCCCTGCTGTAATTATGGAGTCTCAGAAGAAATTCATTTAGGCTCTTATGAAGTTTCTAGAAATGTCTTGAATCAAGATTAAGAGTCATATGAATCATATAACACTATATGAGAAACTGAAAGCTGTTGAGTTTTACAGGTGAAACGGTAATTTAGGGAAAGCAGTGAAGCGCCCCCCAGCAGTTGTGCTTCTTTGTATTTTTATTTGCTTTTAATACAGAGCATATGCATATTTAATCTTACAAGAAAAGTTCTTACAAGCATTCACAAACACATACATACTCCATCCACATGTGAGAACACCTTGCCATTTTGTTCTTTCGAAATTAAAAAAGGAAAAACCTTAAAATCACCCAGTCAAGTGAATTTGGTCAAATTTCAATAAATAGGTCACCAAACAAATGAGTCAGAGTCCAACAGTACTCCATTTTGTGATTAAGCAACATCTTGTGCAAAGATGTGGAGACAAAGGAAATGTTTCAGTCTGTATGCAGACTCCTATCCTGGGCCAAAACTTGAGATAAAGTAGCTGGAAAACCTCTAATTTTGTCACATCAGCAACACTAAAACTGAAGTAGAGAGCACTTTGTTGCCACATTATTTCCAAAAAAGAATGAAAAGTTGCATCATTCAGCAGTCTCTCTCACATGTGTAAAGTATAACGCCAAGAAGCTCCACCTAGCGGATGGAGGACAATATGTACAACAAAGATATAAAGTACTGTGCAAAAAAACAAAAGTACAGATGGCTGATCAGCTTTCTATGAAGGTTTCCAAAAATACTCAGGGTGGGAGCCTTAACCTGTCTGTCACTAGAGGACCCAAATTTGGGTCCTCTCGTGACAGGGGTGTCAAACTCCAGTCCTCAAGGGCCTCTGTCCTGCAACTTTTAGATGTGCCTCTGCTGCACCACACCTGAAAAGAATAATTAGGTCATTAGCAAGGCTCAGGAGAACCGATCTACACAGGGAGGAGGTAATTAAGCCATTTCATTCCACTGTTTTTTACCTGTGGCACATCTAAACACTGCAGGACAGCGGCCCTTGAGGACTGGAGTTTGGCACCCCTGTCATTGTGAATGACAACCTGAGACCAACAGGTTAAAACCTGTAACATTTTTAACTCTCAATGAGAGCTCATTTGTTTTCTTATTTAAAACATGATCCAAGTTATACCAAGCAGGGCAGAAGGAGAATATAACAAAGTCATTTAATATTTTTGTGCTCTTTCAGGTAAACTGGGTGACATTGAGAATGGAAATGTAAAAATGTAGCAGATCAATAAAATTGAGGCCTATTTGTGCCACATAGGAAAATTACATTTAAAAAGAAATATGATTAAATAAAAGACAACTGTTCCTAAATGCAAACTACTAAACATTTTTTTGTCTTTGTTTTGATGAGGCCTCAAAATGTTTTCTCTTGTATTTGGTGCCAGTTTATAGATGCAACGACTCTTATGGTGCTTTTCATATAGCAGATATTGTTGATCACATTGTAAAAATGTTGATTCTATTGCTCTAATCCGACTACAATGTGCAAAAAAAAACCAAAAAAAAAAAAACCCAAACAGCTGTTGAGTTGTGCTTTTGCTAATAATCTGAGGGATGAATCCGAACTTTTGACAGGACAGTTTCACCAGCAATCCATCACAATAGTAAATAAAGAACATACACTGCATGTCCTTTTGTTATGTCCACACTCTTGGTGAACACAGATTCAACAAAGCCCTTTAAGTTGGAAAACAAAAACAATTCACAAAACCACAGGACAGTCAGTCAAGCTGTTAACCAGTCATATTTGACAGAAAGGATCTGTACAGACAAACAGAACTGGGCCTGTGTGCTGAAGACGACTAGCGCAGGCCTGTGGTATCTCAGCACTAAGCATCAGTAGTCTTAAGTTGGACGTCCATCTCAAATTATCCCACCTGCAGTCTGCTTTGCATCAGAGACAGTTTCTCAGCTAATGTGACTCTGCAGTTCTCACATCTGCTGGAGATCATCTCTTTTAGCTTTTATTATGAACGCCATCAGTTACCAGCAGTCCACGAGACATGATATGCAGCCCAGTGATGAAGGTCAGATGTCTCTCGTCACTTCTGGTGGACACATTTCAGAGGCTGGAAGTCAATGACAGAATTGTGCGCGTGTGTGTGTTTGTGTATGCGCACACATTGTATGTTTAAAGTCTTCTTAATCATGACGTTTGCTCTGGCACGCTTCAGTGCTCTTCTCCGATTCCTACCTTCACACCGACTGTCTGCACTACTGTCTTTACTCCGTCAGTCCTTTCTCAGATACAGTCCTGCCCAGCAGGCTAACTGAGGAAATGTTGCACAAACACAGAGTCATTTATATGCCTTCACATTTAAGTACATATATCAGCACAGAAACAGAATTGAGCCAACATTTTTAACCCTCCTCAAATCAGGACCTAAACTTTATAATCTTACTAATCCAGGATATAAGTTAGCAGTGAGGAGGTTTAGGTTATATGATGTGTGGGTAGATTTTGCTGTTCCGGCGTGGTCCAGGAGGCGGTCAGTTGGTCTCGTAGGAGGAGAGCAGTGCTGCGTCCACAGGCTCCATGCAGGAGGGGCAAGTGAAGGATCTCATCAGCCAGTCGTCTATACAGTCCATGTGGTAGATGTGCATGCAGGGCAGGAACCGGATGGGGTCTCCATAAACAAAGTCCATCATGCAGATGACACACCTGTGGAGATGAACACAGAATCTCGGTAACAGCCAGCATGCTTACTAAACTGAGTTTGTGCTGACAAACTCATGAATGCAACAGATTGGTTTCTGTTGCAGTCATGAGTTTGCACAATATTGCACATTAGGAAATCTTGCGACGGCGATATTATTGGTAAATATTGTGAAAGACTCCTAACAATCCAAATCCAAACGATCTTTTGCGACATGAATGTTGCAAACAATGATTTTGCAATGACGATATAATGACGAAAACCACTAGGTGCAGCCTAACCAATCATATTTAACATGAAATATCTGTCAAAGATGATTGATCATAAAAAGTATATTTTTTAAATAAAAAATAAAACAACTTTCATTTCAGAGCAACTTTTAGTCTTTTCATCTCCATCTCCTCTAAAGCTCATATATGGTGTAGAGTTACACTCTCAGAGCACAAGGAAGAGGTGAGCAATAATTAAATGAAGGTCGTTAGCCGATTCTTAATTGGATTTTGGTCTAGACTTTGGCTGGGCCACAGAGACAAAACAATACTCATTCTGGGTGTGTGTTTAAAGTCGTTATCCTGCTGGAACATGAACCTCCTCTCAAACCTTTTCCAGCCTCCAACTATTCTATTCCAGGATTGACCTGCATAAAGCTCCATCCATATTCCCATACACTGACTAGATTCTCTGTTCCTGCTGAAGAGAAGCATCTCCATCAGGTGATGCTGCCACCACCACCACCACCATGTGTCACCACAACAATGGTTTAATCAACGTGGTGTGCAGTGTTATTACATGTTGGTAACCTGAATTTTACCCCGATCAGCGTTAGGTTTGTACTCACTCTCTGATCTTCTTTTCGGAGCCATCGCGGCCTGGGTCGTACACACCCTTCGGGAGGTGCTGGATGAGTCCAATGCGTTGAGCGATGCGGACCTGCTCCTCTTCGGTCAGCTGAGTGGCCAGTCGGGCCTGGCTGGGAGTTGGGTGGTAGACAGGCACGTGGATCTGCTCCTGCAGACAGAGAGTCTCATTAAAATATATCCAACAACTATCTAATGGCGTTGATAAATGTGGGCAGTGAAGGGAAAGTCTTTTGGTAAATATTCGTGCTACCTAAAGTTTTATGAGTATGATCATGGGAGTCATACATGTGGGGGATGTGTGTGTTTCAACACTCACTTGGTTAAAACATCCTCACTTTTCCTGTAGATTTGCTCAAAACCTGCACTTCCAGTCTGATTCCACAGCATAAATATGATTTTATATTTGTGCTGTGAAACTGATCTGAACGAATACACTTGGGTGAAATGTATGCGCCCTTTTACAACTTAACCACGAGCCAATCACAAAGATATCTTTCATCCACTCAGAGTGCTCCTTACAAATACTGCATTCACTCAAATGACAAAGAACCAATCGCAACCAGCATATCAAAAAACTGCACTAAGCAGTGGAGAATTACAAAACAGTAGGACTTCAGAAAAACAAGAGGAAATAATAAAATACATTTTGTAGCTTAAGAATATTTAGGTAAGCATACAAATACACTTACATATTACATTATGGGTTATATTTATGCATCTCAAGGTACTATGTGACATGTAAAAATATTTCAAACATTTTTACAGTAAATTTTCAGACCCAGTCAAAGTAGCTCATAATCCCTCCACCTCAAACTGTACCACACTTCAGAAGCCACAAGCCTTTTCCGCTTGGCTCACATCCCCCACTACTGGCCCAGACTGGCAGTGAGCCTCCAAAACTGAACTTTATCACTGGAGGTTAGACTAACTTGACAACAAGCCTGGCTTACTAATATCTACTCACTTTATGAAACCCACAGACAGCGCTCATGCATAAGACAAAGCATAAAAATTGTGTATAATTAGGTAGTAATATACAATACCAAAATCACAGAAATACATCTACAAATCAAAGATGTTTAAAGGCACTGATGTGTGAAATTCCTCGATATCTAGAGTGAACTTACAAACAAATGAAAATACTCAGTTGAATGTTTAAGTTTCATGTCCCCACACAAAGCCTTTGTGAGCGTGACTGTTACCATCCTGTAATGACGTGAAAAGTTTTCACTTCACTGCTGTCAGCAGCAGACGGACCTTCCAGTCATAATGTGAGGCTGTAGGTGGAAATAAGTCAGAAGGTGGTAGTGTTTCCCCAGAGTTTGCTTGAACAAGCGGAGGCCACTCTGCCCTCATTTGACTTGCTGTCAAACTGCAGTAAAGTCTTAATCTTTAAAGACTTTCTAATCAGCTCACACAAAAGTATTCGTACCCCTTTGCATTTTCCACATTTTGTCAGCTTGAAACAACAAACTTATTTCACTGACACTTTATTTGATAGAGCAACAAAGAAACGCAAAAGAAAACTTACACATGTGCAGAATTGCCGTAAAACACTCATAACTATCGTGTCAACAAATTACCTCATCAGAGATGGAAATCTGCAGATTTTCAAGAATTACCAGAGAACTCTTCATCGTTTCCCTTCTTGGCCAGCCAGTCAGATGGGCGGCCATCTTTTGGTAGGCTTGCTATGCTCTTTACAGTAGACTGAACAGTGACTTGTGTAATGTCCTAAGCTGTACATATTGTTTTATTACCCAACTTTGCTTTAAACTTCTCCAGAGATTTTTCTTCTACCAGTTTGCTGTGGTCCTTGGTCTTCATGATGCCATTTGTTCACTAATCTCTACAGAACTGCTGGAGTTATTAGGACTGTGTAATAATATCGATATTGCAATATATCAACATTTTCTTTCCTAGAAAAAAAAATCAATATTCATCTGCAAGTATCGTAACATCCAACTGTCACCTTGCTCACTCACTGCTTGCTTCACCAGGAGAGTGATTATACACATTTCCTTCCAAATTACAATAATGCATTACCCAGCAATATAAAATGTGTAAACAATGTGGTTGTAATGCTGACATGCTACAGACATTAAAGTGATAAATGTGTCCTATCACAGAGTTCTGTGCTAGAAACCAATTATGTCATCTACATTTTTGAACACAGTGTCTTCATTGTTGTTTTCCATTCACTGAACTGACTTTGCGGTCTGGACCGGTTCCTTTCCCCCTCCGTCTTTGCACAAGATCAAACCCTCAGCCGTTACTTATGGTGCATGTTCTGCTTCCTCTTCTTACACTTGAATGAATTGACGGTTATCTTCTTCTTTTTCAGGTTTCAGAACCAAAACATAATGCCAGTGTGAGGCCCCAACATCCAATCACAGATCAATAATCCCAATTTAATGTAATGTTTGTAGATATTTTGAGCAAATTGAGCGTTTATTTATAGAAAAAGCTCTTTTAGAGGTGAATAGTTTTTTGGAGTCAGATGTAAAAACATACCAGCTACTAATTGGGCTTCTAGCAGCAGAGCATTTAAAACCACAAGTCAGCAGATTTTTTTTTAAATTGGCCGAGCTTCTCTACTGCTCCCCCGGCTTCTTTAGTTTACAATGAAGAAAAAAAGGCTGACAGTATGACCAGGATAAAAGCTACAAACAAGGCCTCACAGTGGGCAACAGCTGTGCTTGGGTGCTCAACTATGCGATGGTCAGCAGTTCCATTGTCACATATCTGTCCCACTTAATGCCTTGCATGTCAGCTGGACTGACAGCTGCTAATTGAGTGACGTCAGGTTAACCAGAAGAGGAGTTAGAAAGGCAGAGGGAGGTGAAGGATGGAGCTGAAGAGCAGATTTTGATCTCATCTGCTAAAGATGCCGTACGTAGGCTGTTAAACCAAGCTCACAAGAAACTGTCAGCCTGCCAGACTCGGGCTGCTAATAGTGAGCGGGAAGAGGGCAGACGCATGACGCATGCAGTTAAAATGAAAGAAAAAACTGATAGTCTTCCCCTGTGGGCAAGAATCTGCTGAGAAATGGGACTTGGTTTAACCAAAAATCGTGTTCAAGCATGCAGATCATTCCAGTTTACACCATTACTCACTCCAAATGATGAAACATTAAACATCTGCTTACATGAGGAGTTCACACGTTAAAAAAACAAAACATAATCCAGAAGCGTTTTTGAAACATCTTTTTCAACATTCAAATACAATTGCAAATGCTAAAATTTATTTGCTGAAACACTATATTTTCTTGCAGCCTAGTAATTTATATCAGTGAGCATTTAAGGGATGAAACAACTGAAGCATAAGAAGATCACAACCTCTGACATCCAAGATCTTTGCTTGTCAACTTCAGAGTCTGATTGTTTGAACAAGACACCTGCACACAATACAAGGAAAGCATTCAAATCAGACGCAAAGTCCACGGACGTTAACGTCACAGGAAATGTTTGTCAACATGATAACAGGACAGACAATACCAGTACAGTACATGGGTATGACATCACATAATTTATTTAGGAAGCTGGGTCAAAGATACACACTCTGTATACAAGATGTTCTAAATTATGCAAACCTCAACTAAATATGAAGAAAAAAAAACATTATTTTTGCTATAAAACTTTTTACAAGCTAGAACTGGCAGAGCAGTTCAGGTTATTGTGTATGAATAAAAAGCTTCAAATGTCAGCATGAGGGCTGTAAATATCAGCCGAAGTGAAATGGGTAGACATAGGTGAACAAAATAATGCAATACAGGCCTCGTCTGGAACATCAAACCTGAATTATGCGTCACTGACCTCCAGCACAATGTCCTTGTCAAGCATGAAGAGTTTTTCTAACCTTATTTGGGCAATAGTAATGTAAACGGGGGTGGTGGTGAAAGTGGTGCCTCTTTTAAACGAATCAGAACATTAAAAATACATAATCCAACCTTTCACTTCAGTGTGAATATCAGAGACTCAACATATCTAAGACATGGTCAAACCACAGTTAACACACTACTGCAGAAACACTGAGTTTGAATCAAAATCCTCTTAATTTCACTAAGAGCAGCAACTGGACTGCAGCAGTGTAGCCAGGCAGTCTCAACAGTGTCAACACACAGATTTGTCTTTATTGATTTATGACTTGAGATTCTATGCATATTTGTTCAGCAAAAAAAAAAACACTTCTGACTTTTCCTTGGAAAAGTCCTGTTCCTCTGAAGTCTCTTTCACAAAACATTTCTATTGTAAAACCACCAAGACCTGAGCTTCCCCTGGTCACGCAAAAGTAAAGCCAAGTTTTGAAGGAACAAACTGGGAGTTTGGCACCACAGGGGCACTGATGTCAGCACAATTCTTAAATCTGCGTCAGAAGTCCTGTGCACTTCTTTTTAGAGCAATGGAGTACAAAGTTAGTGACACAACCACCGAGTACATAATTCAAATGTAAATTATATACATCACACCTTATTGTCTGAACCTATTTCTAGTTTTGTTTAAATTCTGTGACTGGCTAGTCACACAAATAATGCCTCATCATTAGGCAGCCTGGCCTCCTTTGACAACACACACACACACACGCACACACGCAATGAGGTGCATCACCTCTCAGAGCTCCAGCAGTCTGTTGCTTACATAACGGCTCGCTACTACCCCTAATTACAAGAGATAAAGATAGTTACAAAGACGTTAGTCCCAGACGACGAGCCTCAGTCAAGTCTAAAGTCTTTGTTTTTGTGACTTGGATCAGACTCTGAAACTCAGTTCACCATCACCCTGGATGTAGCATCTTTTTAAGGTTTGTTTGTCTAGGTGTGGGATGTAATTTTGTCGTAAGGTTTATTACTTTGATGTGCAATTACAAATTACTTCAGAATAGTAATTCAGATTAGTTCACCGAATAATTTCAGCGAGCTAAGAAAAAAAAGACTGCATCATAACGTTTGTTACTCTAAATGTGTAGGAGTTGCATTTTTATTTCCTGAAAATCTGAATTTGTTTTAGGAAACAGGTGAACTAATTTATGGGGTTTTTGTAGCACATAAATTAGAAAGCTTAGTTTACATAGAACATAATCCTCATTTCTACAATCCACCATAACTTACTAGACGTTGCTGGTCTATATATATTGCTCCATCACACCAGTACTGCTTCTGACACAAAATCAAACCAACTACAGTTTCTTTTTACGATGAGTAGACTTGGACATTTGTGTTTAAGAGCTCTACACATCCCTAGATGTGATGGGTTGAATGATAAATACGTTATCAAATTCTGGGTGAACCTCAAAACCCTACATTTACAGAGACATCGTTTGGTTTTCCAAATGCATTTTTGGTAAAACGTCCAACAAAGGCTGAAAGCTTTCCAATTTGATTATCTCCCAAAGAAGGCGGGCGTCTTTGCACCCGATATCTCAGAAACTCTGCCGCAAACACAAAAGCAATCTACACAATTAAATAACACAGTTACAGAATCATACCACAAAAATTTAAAGCTTAGGCAAGCTACTTTTTGATTTTCAGAATCAATTATTATAAAATATCAGAAAAATTCAATGAATGTTTTGAGGCAGAATCAAGAGCACAATGGGGAGCTGCCTAAATATAATAATTTCAAATAGAAAACAAGGAAAATACTTGATTCTTTACTACAAAAAACTCTTCTTAAATATATTAAGCTGAACTTTAGGCGCAGAGAAACAGACAAGACTGTGAAGGTGCCAAGTTACCATTAAGAAGTTGGGAGATTTGACAGAGTTTAACAGCCCCGTCAAACCTCTTATGAAACTTTGTCAGTTCAACCAGACAAAACCCTAAACAGACTTCTTCTAAAGAACTGAAATATTGACTAAGAGGGCTATTATAAAAAAATGCACAACACGTGTGTTTATTATGTCATCCCTCTTCAGACCACAGCTGACTGACCTAATTACACAGTGGGAGGGATATGCCTGTGTAATAACGGGTGGGTGATTAAAACAAAACAGAGCCTCTCCTAAAGGGGAATGTCATCTGCATTGCTTTGACAGACATGAAACAAAGAGCTGAAGTCAATATGTCTGACCTGAAATGTTTCACCTATAGACTACATGATGTGTCCTCAGTAACTTCGTGTTGTAACAAAAATGCGTTTAACTACATAGTCAAGTCACACTTTTTTCTTATTACTTGAAATGTGAATCCCAAAGAATGGGTCAAATAAAGAAATATAATGAAATTATAACAATGGCAACTTTCTGTACTTGGTAATTATTCAGTAATATTTTTAATGCGTTCAATAACACATTAAAAGGAGGAGAGAGAAAAACCCAGCAAATCCATTCTGCACTTACTTGATGGCAATAAGGGAGTAAACTTGACCTCAGTTTAAAATAGTCCAATTAGATGCCTTACAGTCAATTTTTCTTCTGTTGATTAAACTGTTAAAATGTGTGTAAATAAACACCACAGAATTCACCTGGGTATTTTGGAAATCCAGACACTGCTTAGTTGAGCAAAAACAGCAGGAGAGAACAAAAGCAGATTATGGACTGTGGCATAATCCAGTGTTTAACAAACCTGATCCTCAAACCGCCCTGTCCTGCATGGACCAGAAACATCTAAAACATGTAGGGATGTAGTAAAAAAAAAATAAATTGTATCAAATGCAAGATCATACACACATCTAAACTCAAATTAGAGAGACCAACTGACCCAACAGTAATGAGTTTGGACTATGTGAGGAACCCGGAGAGAACAGGCAAACTTTAAGAAGACACCAGGCTGGGATTTGAATCCTAAACCTTCTTGCTGTAGGGCAACAGTGCCATTAACTACTCCACTCTGCTGCTAAATGACATCATGATTCTTTATGTTTTTTTACTTTATTAAAAAGATCATGAAAAATGAGCTAGGTGGTGAACAATAATCACAAGTCAATTACTTAAACCTGGCTGAACTGCGTTAAGAACTAGTTCTTGTTATGTATGAATTGGTAAGCTACCATCCAGGATAACCTTAGACACTATCTATAAGCTTAATCAAAAAGGAAGATGTAGACGTCACCTCAGAGACGAGATGGTGTTGAAGTACAAATTCAGATAAGCACACAAAACAGAAAAGAAACCGGCACCAGAACACGTCAGAAAGTGATACGATTATAATTATTCAGATGTGGAGGATGTTTGAAAACCCCAGACTCTTCATAGAGTAACCAAAATGGTTGACCAATAATCCAACAAAAACTTAAGTAAAGGTCCACTGCTTGGTAGGAAATGTCTGGTGGGAAACAGCTGCTTTTCATACATGCCATTTTATTTTAATGTATTCATTTTAATTTTTTTATTTGTTCTGTTATCTTGAACATCTGAAACACTCTTTCAAAAGATCAATAATACAACAAGTTTATGTTGTACTGACATTATATTAAGTCTCCCATACTTTAAAAATGTGTATCCTAAACCCGATGATAAGCTCTGGCTTGATTGAGTGATTCATATAGCTACATCCCAAAATGGACAGAGATAATAACATTAACAACAACAAACATATTTGCAGTGACAACATGCTCTACATATGTACAGATGACCAGGCTACAGAAATGAGGTCACCAGGCAAACAAAGTTGGTGCCTGAAGGTTGTCAGTCAAATGAAGAGTTGAGTAACTTCAGCTGAGAGAGTCAGCATTTTACAAAACTAAAGTATTACAAGTGGAGAACTGTCCATGTTAAGATAATAAAAATGAAAGCACATATTTATTTTATGATTCTCCATTTCAACCAAATCTTCGTGATCTGGTTTGTTTCATTTTAAAAAATGACGTTTGCATATGAATGCAAAGGGAATTATTGCTTCATTAAAACTATGCCCAAAGGAAGGACCTGGGGATAAGAGGATTAGTTTCAATGCCGTGAAGGGACAGGGTCAGTGGGTTGGAGTTCCTCCTGAAGGGTGATGTTAGATCTGTGAACAGCTGATACAGCTCCACATGATGTTTGTTTAAATAAAGGCAGCCATCAGCTGCTTTACAGACGGGTATGACCATAATGACATACCACTAAGATGGTCCAAAACTGAAAAACATCATTATTTGAAGTTCAGCACTTAACATACTATGTGTGGTTGAGGTTTGTTATAAACTTACCTGATAAGGGGGCGGTGGCTCCTGATCCAGGTCAACACCGTCTCCATAACTGGCTCGGTCCGACTGGGATTCATGTAGCAAAGATATATCATCCGAGGTCGGAGATTTCAAACAGTTTCCCATCTCCTTCCTCTTCTGTCAAACTGGACCCCCCCTGTCTGTGTCGGTGGATTTCACGGCTCACTTTAACAGAGAAGGTCAGCAGAAGTGTCAACGGATCGTTTTTCCCATTCACAGCTGAGAAATATCCTCTCCCAGACGATGGGAGGGCAGCCTGCTTCAACAACAAAACATCCTTCAGCTAGCAGCTAGCCGCACAAAAAGCTAGCCAGCTAACACCAGCTTCGACTCCGAACGAGAATGTTTATACGCAAGATACAGAAAATAAAAAGCTTTGACAGTATTTTATATCTACTAAGCCAACCAAGAGAAGCAAATATCCAAGTCCCTTGTTGTAAGTGACAGAGGAATGTGCATTTTCCCTGTCTGAAAGCTGGCCGCTTGAGAGGGACTTTCCAATTTGAGAGCAGCTGCTGAATAACGACAAAGGTGGTGATGTAGCAACGCCAAACACCGCCCCTTTAAAAAATTAACCAATAGGCGACGACTTACGTTCACGATGGTCTTGGCAACAACCAATCAAATTTGTGGTCACATTGGCTTACGTCGAAAACGTAAACATAGACCTTTAATCTGTAAATGAGTCGTTTTTCTGGAATACACTGTTTATTATTATGAATTGGAGGAAGGCATAAATGACTTACTTTAAAACCTCTTTTTTCAATAAATAAGGGGACTTAATTCTAAATTTTGTACTTACCTTTGTGACAAAAAAAAATCAACGTTTAAGGATGAATATTATACCTTTTGTAGAATTGAGACAGATATCGTAATATGTTTATTTTTTAACTTCCCTCTCTTAGGGGGTCATGGCGAAATTTCTCATTGAAAAGCCAAACGCACCATCAAAATCAGACCTAGGTGTTGTAGTTGCGTTTAAATGTAGCGATTAAATGTGCTTCATAATTAATACA